TTTTATATTGACTTTATATACTGCAACCTTTCTAAATTCATTTAATAGTTTTAGATGTTCCTTTGAGTATTCCTTAGGATTTTCTATGTAAACAATCATGTCATCTGAAAATAGAAAAAAATTGCATTTTCCTTTTCCATATTTATATTTTTTGCATTTTTCCTGTTTATTTCTTTCTTTTTCTTTTCTTTATTTCACTAATTGGACCTCCAATAAAATGTTGAATATAAGCGTTAAGAGTACGCATCATTGACTTTTTCTTAATCTCGGGGGAAAATATTCAATATTCTACCTTTAAAAATAATCTATAGCTCTTTTAAAGTAGATATCCTCTTATCAGTTTGAAGAAATTTTCTTTATTCTTACTTTGCTCAGAGATTTTAATCATGAATGAGTGTGAATTCTGTCAGATGCTTTTTTCTGCACCTATTGAGATATAATCATGTGGCTTTTTTCTTTTATTCTGTTGATGTGATGGATTACATTGGTTGATTTTATAATGACAAGTCAATCTTACATTTGTGAGATTAAACCCTTCTTGGTCATGATCTATTTTCTCTTTCATATATTACTGGATTCTGTTTGCCAATGTTTTCTTACATTCATAAGATCTGTTGGTCAGTAATTCTTTTTCAACAGCCCTTGTCAGATTTTTGGTATCATAATAATGCTAATCTCATAAAACAAGAAGTGTTTTCTCATCTTCTGAGAGTTTGTGTAATATTTGTATTTTGTCTTATTTAAATATTTGAAATAATTCACTGAGACTGTAGCCATTTGGGCACTTGGTTTTCATTAACAGATATATGCTATTCAGATTTTCCATTTCTTTTTGTGCCAGCTTTTCTAACTTTCTGTTTTAGAAATTTTGTTCATTTCATCAAAGTTTTAAAATTCATTGGCAAAAAATTACTTACACTGTACCTTTATTAACATTTGCTATGCATAATATATCCAGTGTTTCTCCTTTTTCCTTCTTGGTGATGGTAACTCGTGTTTTCACTCTCTTTTTTTCATTGTCAGCCTTATTAGGGGTTTATTGTTTTTATTAATCTTTCCAAACAACCAACTTTTGACTTTGTTGAGGTTCAGTCTTCTTTGAATGTTTCCCATTCATTGAACTACATTCTGACCTTTATTTCCTCTTACATAATTTGGGTTTAATAACTATTATTTTTCTAGTTTCTTCAAATAAAACCTTAGATCATCAATTTTAAACCTTTCAATTAAAATGGGAAATTTCTCCCTAAGCACTGCTTTAACTGTATACCACAAACTTTGATATGTTATTTCATCGTCATCCAGTTAAAAATATCTTCTAAATTTCTTCTTTGATTCAGTGGTTTAGAAATGAATTGGGTAATATCCAAACTTTATAGATTTTTCTAGACAATTTTAGAAAACTGATTTCTAATTTAATTACTTTGAGGTTAGAGAATATACTCTATATAATTTCAATATTTTAAAATTTATTGACAATTTTTCTGGCTCAAAGTCAGTTTTATCCTGGTGAAAGTTCCACATGCACTGAGAAAGAATGTGTATTCTGCAGTGTAGTATGGGGTGTTCTATAAATGTCAGTGAGCTTGAATTAGTCGATGGTGTTGGTGGTGTTCAAATACTCTATCCTCAATTATTTCTTCATCTACTTGTTCTGCCAGTGAAGGGAGAAGGATTAAAAACCTCTCATTATTATTGTAAAGTTGTCTAGTTATCCTTCTTGTTACGGCTTTTTTTTTTCTTCATGCATTTTGAAGGTCTTTCATTACTTTCATATACATTTGGGAGTGTTATGTCTTCTTAATGAATTAACTCTTTTATTACTGTTAAATGCTCCTCTTTGTCTCTATTACCCCTTGTCTTCTACTACTTTATTTTATATTAATATGGCCACACTTACTTTCTTATGTTTAGTGTTTAAGTAGTTTCTATAAAACACTTCAACTTGTCTATCTCTTTATACTTTAAATGGCTCTCTTAAAACAGTAGACTATCAGTTATTCTTCTTTTTTTAAAAAAATCCTGTCTGAAAAAATTTCAGTTATTCCATTTACATTTAATGTAACGCTTGATATAGTTGGATTTAGGGCTACCGTCTTGTGGTTTATTTTCCATTTGTCCTATCTCGTGTCTGTTTTTCCCTTCTTGACTTTTTGTAGAGGTTGTGACTACCATTATTATTAATTTTTTTCAGCTAAAATACCTGTTCCATTTGTTTTAGTATAATTCTGCAGGCAATAAATTTTCTCAGCTTTTATTTCTAAATATGTCTTTATTTTACCTAGAATGTTTAAGGATACCTTTGCTCTCTATAAAAATCTAGGTTAGGTTGATAAATATTTTTCTTTCAGTATTTTGTAAAGATGTCGTTCCATTGCTTTCTGGCCTTCTTTATTTTTCGTGATTTGTATACTCTAATTATTACATCCCTCCTCAACATAAAACACATATAAAAATGTGTCTTTTTTTTAGATGTTTAAATTTTTTCCTTCCTTTTTTTTTTAAAGCAGTTTTACTGTCATCTTCCTACAGTGGCTTTCTTTGTGTTTATCTTGCTTGAGGTTTACTAAGCTAAGATCTATGGGTTGTTATTTTTCAAGCTATTGGAAAATTTTAGTCATCACTTATCCAAATAACATTTGTGCTCTATTCCATCTTTTTCTTTTTTCCAGACTGAACTACCTATATTTTAGATTACTTGATGTTGTACCACAGGACATCTTTTCAGTCTTTCTTTTTGCTTCAGTTTGCAATAATTTGCATTGATATGTTTTTAAATTGTCCTTTCCTTTTTAGTGTCCAATATATTATTAAACCTATTCAATGAATTTTTAATTTCAGAGATTATATTGTTTATTTCTTGGTTCCCATATCAACCTTTCTTTCTATTGCCCATTTTTTCCCTTGGTTATTGTCACAGTTTTCTGTTTCTTTACATGCCTAATAACTTTTAATTTTATATTGGACATTGTGTTGATACATTATAGAGATTTTTGGATTTCATTATTTCCCTCTGAAGAGGGTTCCATTTTATTTTAGCAGATGGTTTAATTACTGGTGGGTCACTTTAATCATGATATTTTTTACTTTTCTTTCTTTTTCTTTCTTTTTTTTTTTTTTTGTGAGTCTATTTTCTACATTTTGACTTTAGTCCCAGCTCACAGTCCTTTGTCCTGGGACTTGTTTTTTGTTCCTGAAGCATGGCCTTCGATGGAATAAATGGAAAGCTCAAGGTATTTATCAAGCTTCTCTAACTTGGTAAGACTTGAACTCCAAAATTTGTCCTGTAGTCTTGGGGCACTGGTGAAATTTCTGCCTACCTCTTCAGCCTTCTAGTCATTGCTAGACTAGATGAGTTCCTTGTAGTCTTATCTGTGCATGCAGTTTAGGTCACAGGGAAGGATTTGAGGTGGATTTATATACAGGTTTATGGTTGTATATGTTAAAGGATCTCCCCCTCAACTTCAGGCTGCGTTGACAGTCCCGAATTGTGACCTGTGACCCTTTAGGCCCATAAGACTTTGATGCTTGAGCTTTCTCACCCAGGAACTGTATAAACTGGGAAGTGCTTTCAGGGGAATGGACAGTTAAATGAATATCTCACCTAATGTATCTTCCTTTTTTCAAGGGTTTGCCTTTTCCAGTTTCTGTCCACTTTTGTTGTTTTTTAGTGCCTTGAAACAGATTTTTTTCCCCATATGTTATTCTACGCTTCTTGATTTGTTCTGGTAAATTGTAATTGGTTACATATCCATTTTCCTTAATATGTAAGTTTTTTGAGAGTAAAGGGTATGTTTTATTGGTCTTTATTTTATCCCATTGTCCTACCCAGAGTAGTTCCTTTTACTTAGCAGCTGCTAAGTAAATGAATTGCATTGTTATTTATATGAAGTCCAACTGTAAGTCAGGATTTAAGCTTAAAGTCATAAGTTAATTTCTCTTTTTAGTACACCACTCTGAATATGAGTTCAAAGGAGATTGTTTAGGTAGATATTTTGAAGCATAGTATTCCCTTGAAAGTCTACTCTTAAAATATTTATTTTAAAAATAGTTTTTCATTTTAATGTAATTTTAATTTTAATTCACTTTAAAGTGGACATATCTATCATCTGATATATAAAATTGTTAAAGTTACTGCTTAACATTGTTGGATTTTCAATCAAGGTACATGCCACAAGATATTATTTTTTTTATTAATTTTTATACCTAAAGGAAAACCATTTCTCCTTGTAAAATAGAACAGAGATATTTCTTTTATTTAGAATAGTGATAGCTTCCAAATTCTGTGTAGCATGTGGCTGAAAATACCATCTTTGAATAATTTCATTTTGAAAAGGACTCTTCTGTGCTATTTTAAATTAGACTTCTCTAGATCAATCTAATGGACAGAGAATTTGTCCCATCATGTCAAAATTACCTTAATAGAATTTTTGGAAGGATCATCCATTTGCCTCTGTTATTAAGTTTAATATTCTCAATTTGTGGAGAAGTGGCTGGTAGCCCTAATTTTAATAAATTAAACTGTTTTTAGATATAATTATTATAGTCACTGATACTTATTTAACATTAACGATACTTTGTTTTCTTTCTTTCTTTCCTTTTTTTTTTTTTTGGTTAGTGGAGGAAATGGGGATTAAACCCAGGACCTAGTGCATGCTAAGCATGTGCTCTACCACTGAGCTGTAACTCCCATCCCCAACAATACTTTGTTTTCATAGTGTAGTGTTTATTTGAATGCATAGGGGCAATGGGTAATGTAAACTGGCTTCTTTTAGTGGAGTTTTTAGTTTATATGCAAATCTTGTACTTATTGCAGTTCTCATTTGATGATCTGCTAAACTGATGTCAGTTTTATTATTTGTGCCATAACAAACCATAGTTGCATTTGTCTACCTTTATGAATTTGTCTTTTTGATTACTTGAAAGAAGTACATTGTTAAAGAAAGAAGTACATTGTTAAATGAAGCTAAAAAACTTCCCTTTTCTTCTTTCTTCTTTAGAATCAAGTTTCTTACTGGGAAATGCCCAGATTGTGGATTGGCCTGTAGTTTATAGTAATGACGGTTTTTGCAAACTCTCTGGGTATCATCGAGCTGACGTCATGCAGAAAAGCAGCACTTGCAGGTAGGTAACAGAACAGCTTAGGAATCTTTTCTGAAGTTTAACTAAATACTGAATGTGGTTAAAAGGCTTAAATGTACTTAGACTCACTGTGATGTGATTTAAAATCAGAAACGTGTATTTGGTCTTCCACCTAGTTCCTGGCACAAAGCTCCCAAAACCCTTGGAATTTCTTGTGATATGTTGTGTTGATGAAGTGACTTTTGGAAACCCTTGGATAACCTAAGGATGGGGTTGACTGCCAGGGGAACCAGCCATATGATTAGTACCACCTCATCTCCCCAATCTCCTGGAGAGAGACTGGAGGTTGAATCAATAGCCAATGGGTAATGATTTAATCATTTGTAACTGTGTTTGAAGCATCCATAAAAACTCAAAAGACAGGATTTGGAGACCTTCCATTTTGGGCAACATGTGGAAGTGCTGAGAGCGTGGTGTGCCTGGTGAGGGTGTGGAAGGTCCGAGTCCTTTTCTGATACCTTGTCTTATGCATCTCTTCCCTCTGGCTGTTTCTGAGTTATATCCTTTTATAATAAACTGGTAATCTAGTAAATAAAATGTTTCTACAAGTTCTGTAAGTTGCTCTAGCAAATTAATTGCACCAAAGGAGGAGGTTGTGTGAACCTCTGGTTTACAGCTGGTTGTCAAAAGTACACGTAACAACTTGTGCTTGTAACTGGTGTCTGAAGTCTTAAGGAGGGGGTCCTGGGAACCTCCAGTCTGTGCTAGGTGGGTCAGAGGCACAGTTGACAACCTAGGCTTGGGACTGGCACCTGAAGTCGCGGGGGGGAGGTCACTCTTGTAGGACCGAAGCCTTAATGTTTAACCTTTTGGAATCTGATGCTATCTCCATGTAGTTAGTGTCAGAATTGAGTTGAATCATAGGACACTCAGCTAATGTTCCTAGAATTGCTTGTTGTTGTGGGGAACCTCCCCAAACCCCCACAGATTGGAATTGGTGCCAGAACCTATTTACTTACATAAAAACTGCACAGTAAAAATTATATTAGAATATTAAGGAGACTAAATTGTTCGTGGAAATATATAGTTTAAGAGCCACTGATGAGAATTTTTGCAAAGAGGAATATTTCTGCAGTCTGTTAATTTATTAATTTATTCAATAAATACTTTTTGATCACCCTCTATGGGCCAGGAACTATTTTAGGTGCCAAGTGATCAAAGGAGCATCCTGTATCAGAGAACCACTGATGTCAGCACGACTTTAGTTGCTAAAACTGTCTTATGAAGTAGCAGCAACAACCCTCAACCAAGTAGGACTTGCTTCATGAACATTTAAAGGAATAAAAATAAAGTTCTTACAACCTGTGTAAATCACACATACTTTGTCATGTTGGTACATTGTACCATTGCTATTTTGTTTGACTTATGTAAAACAGAATCTGGCATTTATATTATTTATAACAATTCTTTTATAATATGCCATATCTGTGAGCTTAAAGAGTATATTACCAAAAAAGATCATAAAAAAGACAAGGGAACTCTATATAAGGAACCAATTTAGACTTGAAAACTTCACAATATTTCAGTAAGGCCAGATGGGATTTTTTTCCCTTAAGTTAATTTTTCTTTAAAGCTGACACTTAACTAAGTACCAAAATTATGTTATTTTATAATTACAAGGAATCTGAATTATTTTCTACTCCATATTCTTTGTTTTTCAGAAAAGAAAACTGAGCTAGAGTTAGGTTAAGGTATTTGCCCAGGGAAATGGTGACTGATATGCCTTTTTTCTACTCATTTATGGTGAGAAACATTATGTGCTGTATATATACTCATATATGTATACGTATATATATATTCTATATCATCATGGAGGGCAGGAATTTCATATTATACCAGTGAGTCTAAGCCTGACTATACATAGGAGTCATTTAGAGAGATTTTGCAAAACCTTAAACCTGCTGAATTGAAATCACTCAAGGTGGGTAGGTTGGGGCAGGAATCAGCACTTTTAACCAGCAGCTCAGCTGATTCTGATGCTTAGCCAGATTTGAGAAATCATCTGTTCAAACATCTTCTTTCACTTGTCCTCTCCCAGTGGTCCTCATTTGCTCTCTGCTAAGGTCATTCTCACCTTCACTCTTCACTTTCAGGTCTGGTGAAAGAGTGTGCTCCCTGAGAAACTCCTTTTGGTAGCACTGATGTCTCTTGTGTTTTTTTACCTGCTGGGTGGCTATTAGCTTTTGGGTTGGCACTGTCGCTGAGGTGTGTGTTCTAAGTTCTGGGAGGTTCTACTCCCTTATGTCTGAGCAGGGTTTAGGTCAGGTAAAGATTAGTTTTATGGTAGACCTGACCCGTGGAGCAGGCTCTGTAGAGAATTCCAGGAAATGTAGACGCTCCGATACCCATTTCCTCTTCGTAGACTGCAGATGTCCCATCATCATCCATGTCCATTTCAGATGCCAACTTCCACCTGAAGGTGTTCATGATTTGCTCAACCAGATGTGCTTTTCCTCCTCCGACTCCCTGTAGTTCATCATTTGGCATCATCATCTAGCCTTAAACTACTTATTCTTATCCCTTGGGTTTTCATTGCTATTGCTGCTTTGTGTGTGGGTGTGTGTGGGATGTGTGTGTGTGTGTGTGAAGTATTGCTCTTCATATCTGCTTATATTGTGAAGTCCTGCTCCCGTCTTTTCTTGCTTCCCATGTATCTGTCCCAACCCCTAGCATATTTTCTTTGATATGTGCATTTTTTCCTATAATAGGGTCACTAAAAAAATGCTGGCATGTTAGAATTATATATTCTTTCCCCTTGAAGAGTTGCTTTTCCCTCCTACCACCAGTGCCAGATAATAAATACCTTGAAGGTTAGGATTCCATCTTGTTCACTTTTCTAGGCACTACAGGACACAGCTTAGTGTTCTGTGTCAGTATTTGTTTAATTGGATTGGCTTATTTTGCAATAAACCCTAACCTTGGTCTCACATGGTTCTGTATAAACATGCTTTTATTTACTGTATTTCATCCCAAGGGTTATGGTATTTGAGGTGGATGAGAGAGTGGAGAGCTTCAAATTATGTTATGTTTCTTCGTACAGGAAGAAGTATGCAAATCTTCCTCTAACTCTTCTTCACTATTGTTAGAAACAGTATTTTCAAAATAATAATAATCTTTAAAAAATTCTACTGAGGTATAGTTGATAAACAATACGATATTAATTTCTGTTATACAAAATAGTGATTCAGAACTTTTATAGATTATATTCCACTTAAAGTTATAATAAAATACTGGCTATATTCCCTGTGCTGTACACTAACTACATCCTTGTAGCTTATTTATTTTATACATAGTAGATTGTACCTCTTAATCCTCTACCCATGTCTTGCCCCATCCCCCCTTTCCTCTCCTCACTGGTTACCATTAGTTAAAAATAACAATATTCTTAACACAAACAATTATTGCCTGATTGCATAAAATGCCCAACATGTTCTGCTAATATAAAAATGGCAACCAGTTGAATGCCCTCACAGAGCAACAAGGACTAGCATCTGATATACGAACAAATGATTTGAGCCCTGTCAGGTTTTCTTAAGGTATAGTTCATTTTAATACACTCTTCTTTCAAATTTCCACATCCCTTTTGAAAACTAAACTATACCTATATTATATTCACTGCAGCTCTTTTTAGAAGGATGAAGACCTGGGAATAATCAAAATGTCCAGTAGCATATACATTAAAAAATATTATGGTATAGCCCTAACTTCCTAATTCATATATTGAAAGGATAATGGTACTGAAAGAAGCTAACTGTATATTATTAAATTAAAAATATCAACCAATCGACTAAACAAACCACAAACAGTTAACAAAACACTAAATGCATCATGATCCCTTTTCTAAAATATATGGTTGTTTTCCATTTCTTGTATAAAACTATAAAAGACTTTGAATATGATGCACAAGGAAACAGAGGGAAAAAAGAAGAAAACTATATACACATTTGGAAATCCAGTGTTAAAGCCAAATGTTATTATAGAGTTTTGGAAACACTGAATTCCAACTAAATATGGAGATAAGTAAGTTGACACTGAGGATAGCCTTATAAGAAATTCAAAGACTTATACTAGTGACAAGTTTTAGGCACACAGCAGAATGAGAATCTACAGATTGGTGAGCATCAGTTTGTGAGGAAAAAATATAAATACTTTATATGCTGAAAGAGAATCTTCTTTGTATACAATTTGCATTAGATGGATTAAAATCAATAGGATTAAAGTGTTAACTGCTTAAAGATTACATGTCCTATTTTTTAAATATTCAAATATGAATTGTTTTATCAGAAAATGAAAAAATATTAATTTGTGATTTTACAGTATCAAGAGGCTAAAATTAACTTCTGCTTTTTTCAGTTTTCCCTTTTTTGTCCTTCCCAATCCTTCTCCCATTAGACCAGGCGCATGTAATACAATTAAACATCCTCCTCCATTTGTCCCAATATTATCTGGTGATCTCTCGGGGCAAATCTCTATTTATTTAATTTTACTTATTTAATTTAATATTGTTTTTTCTTCTTTTATTTTTTTTTCTTTTCCCCTTCATTCCATCCCTCTTCATCTTCCATTATTTACTCATTTTGGCGTGTTCTATTTTGTGTCTTTCTAATCCATCTTCCATTTGTTTATTAAATGTATGTACTCTTGAAATGATATTGCTTGGTGTATGCTTATTTTATTTATTTATTTATTTATTTTTTTCTCTGTGATTTATCATAACATTTTGTGTATATTTCCCTGTGCTATACAGTGTAATCTTGTTTATCTATTCTACAATTTTGAAATCCCAGTCTATCCCTTCCCACCCTCTACCCCCCTGGTAACCACAAGTCTGTATTCTCTGTCCATGAGTCTTTAGATTCCACATATGAGTGATCTCATATGGTATTTTTCTTTCTCTTTCTGGCTTACTTCACCTAGAATGACATTCTCTAGGAGCATCCATGTTGCTGCAAATGGCGTTATGTTGTCGGTTTTTATGGCTG